TATTTTACCTGCACATCTTGTTGTAAGTAGCACAAGTAAAATAGAACACAAAAATGTGGGAGATTGTTTTTCAGTGAAACAGTTAAGCATTCATACACTTTGCAGTTTTAGCATTTTCTAATGAATTTAGCAGGCTCAGTGGATGCAAATCAATAGATTTTAATGCAGTACACGCCACATCATCTGTTACCATAGGACAGTTAGTACAGACTGGAATTGGTGGAGGAAGAAAAAAAAAAGCTTACCATTCTTCGGGGGGTGAGTGCACTCAGATTGTGAGCTCAAGGCCAGGGCAATGGAAAATACTCGAAGATGAAAGAGATCAATGAGCTGAGTAACACACCCGGGGAAATGTGTGTTGATACGTGCAAGCTAATAGGTTAAACTCCTATCTACCTTGATCTAAGTCTTTGTAATTTGGCAGTGCACTTGATGGTAGCTGGTTACTCACCAAAATGAGTTTCCAAGGTACTGTACCCACATTTCTAGTCTGCAGCTCTAAAACGGTGCCATTTCTTACACTGCAGTGAAATATTTTAGGCCTATAGTTTTGGCAGAGAGAGTTACTAATGGAGGATAGCCTGCCTGTGCGCTTGATATTAAGTACTGCATACTTGGACCTATTTTCCTTTTAAATACATATCCACTAGACATCTTGCATGGAGGGAATGGCAAACATAGCAGAAGTCTGCTAAAAGTCTTGTTTCCACAGGTATGGTGCAAAAGACAAATCAAGTAGTGTGCTAAAGTTTCCAGCAGCATGAGAGGATGAAGCGTCATGGATTGCCTCTCAATTGTGAATTCATAAAGAAGTTCAATTCCAGATTTTTTTTTTTTAACTCCAGCAGCTTTTCCCCTTTAAAACAAAAGGTTAACGGCTGGGAATGGAGTCGTAAGGCTCAAGAGCCCCATTTCAGTGTGCGAGCTGGCCTTCATCCCCTTTTCAGTGTAAAACAAACTGTCCTGCAAACCTCAGTGGTGTCAACCAGACAGCACTCTCCTTTCCTTCCCCAGCCTGGAGTTCGCCTGGATTTGGCTTTACATCCTTGTCAGCTGCAGCAGGGCAGAGATTTTTGTTCTTTTTTTGGCTTCTGAACACCGGGCGTGGGGAAGTTAAAATACTAAACCTCCCCAAACAAAAACAAAAAAAGAATAAACTCCCTCGCCCCAAGCAAATCTCGATAGCTAACCAACCCCTCCCCAAAGAAACGCTCAGCTTCCAAAATACCTTGGGCGGTCCTGACCTTGGATGTTTCATTGAACCAGCCGCTTGCGGGCTGATGTGTATCCAAAGTGTTTGTTATGGCTCGGAATGGT